ATAGATTTGTAACCTAAATCATTTAAAATAGTTTTGATTATCTTCTTAATAATTAACTTTGTTTATACATTTAATACTTTTGTAGTGTTTTTTTGTATAGTTAATTTTCATTTTGTTTCACAGATAATAATTGAACTTGCTGAGTATCGTTCACATGAAGGTTTATGGGCCAATGATATTTTATGGAACAATATTGATAATATAGAGACACTTATCTGGTGGAATGGTCTTTGTTCAAACACAAGTCTTTCAAAAGTAGCATCTGCTATTCTTTCCTTGCCTGCATCCTCAGCAGCTACAGAGCGTTTTTTTTTTTTTTTTTTTTTTAGCTCTTATTCGCTCATCCATACTAAAAGGAGAAATCGCCTAACAAATTCAACAGCAAAAAAGTTACTATTTATTTATGAACATATAAATAATCAAGACCTGGAAGTGTCAAAATCAGTGAAAAGCGCACAAACAAACCAAGAATCTTTTACCATTAACAATGAAGATGAAGAGCCTTCCTGTAGTTATCAGGCTTGTAGTTCTAGCAGTGAAAACGGGGAAGAGGATTACAATACTGATGACATAGTAGAGTCTGAAGGCGATCAGTTTGGTGAAATAGATTCAAGTGATGATGATTTTTTTAATTCAATTCAACATACACTCACTTAATATGTTCTGAATTTTAATTACATTTTTAATTTTATTGTATATTACAAGTTTCATGATTTATTTTACATATTGTTTTTTGTTCTGAATGAAATAAGTAAAAGTTTTTTTTTAAAAGAACCATTTAAAATGTTAGGTACCTATAAACTTAATAAGTCAATACTCAATAGTTATATTTATATAGGAATAGCGGAATAGGTTAGATAGGTTGGTAGGTAGATAAAAGGAAAAATAATATATATCATGCATTTAAAAACTACATAAAAATGTTAAAGAAGGTAAGAAATTGGTAAGTAAGATTTATTTGAAAATATAACAAAAATTACACCCAAAAATTTTTTTTCCAAAATTTACCAATTTACCAAATTTTATGTAAATTTTTTACCGGCTAATTCCACATCTCTAGTTATATGTAAATCCATAGTATTGTGCAGTACAATTCCATGCGTTGTTCGTATAGTCGTTCGTTTAGTTGTCGTGGCTCGTGCTTCAATTTATATTGGAAATTGTATTAAGTGAACGTGATAATAACGAACTAATTATTTAACAAAATTATAAATTTTTTTTTAAGGAATTTACCAAAAAAGGGCATAAATGGCAGTGCGCACACAAAAGTTGCAACTCTAAGTTGTACGTAGATGATGTTAAAACTACAATTTTATTTGAAGAAATTAAACATGAACATCATCCTCCTAATAACTTCATCAGAAAGCTGAATTTGTATGTAAATTATTTTTATTTAAATTTACTTTTTAATATCAGCGCAATAGATGTATACCTTTTTGATATACCTTTTTTATACCGACGCAATAGATGTATACTATACAGGTAGTGTCCCAAATTCGGCGCAATTAACGAAACCCCAGTATAACTAGGGCCCTGTAGAGATAGGTATACCGAGCCGCCATTTTTCTCCTTTTCTCCTTATCACTTTGAATGACTATCAGTACTATAATGTATAAAGTACATGATAAAGTATTCCGTATTCACTACTCTGTGACAAAAATTGAATTTGTCATTAACTTTGAAGTAATTTATAAATAATATGGGTGGCTGTACAGCAATTAACTGCAATAACAGTGACAAGAAAGGTTTTCGGATGTTCAATTTGACGCGGCCCGCGTTAGTAGCAAGCATGAACTACTACACAGGACTGGACACTATTGGCAGGAGGAGAGTAGGAGGTCGTCCACAAAGTTGTACATATTCGGTACACATGCGACACAGCTCCATCTGTGAGATAAGAAATATTTTGTTATATAAAATACCGCCTTAGTAGTTCATGCTTAGTAGTCCCACAAAAGTGAAATATTGACATATATTATTACTTACTACTTAACCATGAGAATGAGACAATATTCACAAATGACAAATCAAAAACAGATCAAAGTAAGCTGCAAAAAGAAGAAATTGTCAAAGTTGGTAAAAACATAAGATAAACGTAACAAATGTACATAATATTTTTTTTATATACCTACAGAAACGTCAAAAACTGACAGCTATTAAATCATTATTAAACTTACTATTTAGCATTAGCACCACGGCATATTTTACTATTTATAATTATTTATTATCACTAATATCACTATTCTTTAGTGTTATCCTATAAAAAACGTAGTTCGTACTACTAACAGGCAGAGTGCAGTTACATCGCATGTGTACGAACCTTGTACAACTTTGTGTCCGTGATTTTCTCTGTAGTGTCCAGTCCTGTGTAGTAGTTCATGGTAGCAAGTACAATGTACAAGCACTATAGCGACCAGTCTATCTTATCTCCAACCACCACCACGGGATGCAAGCAGCGCGACCGAGTTGACTCTCCCACCGAGCCGGTAACGGGACGGGGGGACTGTGTCGCTTAAAGTGCATTACACACTAGGCGTTTCGAACGACGCGATTTGATCGCTTAAAATAAAACAGCCGTTATGGTATGGTTATATTCACACTGATAAAATACGCGCGCGTTGAAACGCGCCGGTTTAATTTTGGGCGTCTGATCGCACGAACGCTCTAAAATTAAACCATGTATTTCCAATGTTATTATTCACATTGGGCGTTTTACCCGCCGAAACGTCGCGTTTATTTTATATTTTACGATTTCATTCATCATTTGTGTTTTACATTTCATTGATGATTCACGTATTCATAATTCATATACAATGTTCGATAACGAAGCTTTCATTATTGAAGTTTCTAACGAGGAAAGCATATGGAATATAGGTAAGTTTCGAGTTATTTATCATGTGTAAATTCATAGTACAAGGTTCCTCATAAGTTAATATAATAGCAGTTTGAAAAGAATAAAAATTCATATGCACAAATTGTTTTTTATAACCATTTAAAGTTCAAATTTTGACAAAATTTGTTTAACTGAAAATTTACAAATTCTTTAGTTGTTAAAAATGTATAAAATTTTTAGCTAAGGATTGAAAATTTGATACAAGGTTCCACGTAACATAATAAATCTAATTTGATTAATTTGGAATTTGTTTTACCTACATTTTTTTTTAAAATAATATAATTAATATATCATAAAATATCCTAGACTGAAAACTCGTCTCCGATCAGAATCATTTTTTGTATACAATGATATTATATCATTGTATACAAATTTAATACCATCCATTACAGTAACCCACTTCTAACGTACTGTACAGCAGAGCGATATCCACTTTTCCTCTTTTCTCCAATGAAGATAATGTTATAATTTTAATTAACTAAGTTACGTTCATTATTTTCGTTATTTGCTTAAAACTGGTTAATAGATACTTATATGTGTACATGATACGTACCTCCACCTATTTCAATTGTATTTGGAATGATTACCCAATATATATTATATTAATATATACCGATTTATTTAGAATCAAAATTATACCACGACAAAGTCGCTAAACATGTCAGCTGGACTAAAATAGCCAAAAAGTTTTTTGAAAATTTCGAAACAATTGATGAAAATGAAAAAAAGAAAAAAAGTAAGCAATTAATATAACTTTATTTATTCATTAGACTTTGTTTAATATTAATAAACTGTATTTGTAAACACTTATAACTCATAAGTCATAATTAATATTACAAATTAAAATATGCGGATATTTAATATAATATTATAATATGTATAAGTAGGTACCACGCACTTTCACAATATATTAATTTCATATCACCCTTTTTTGCCAACTTAGTTCATGAGCCGGGTTGTTGAAATAATTAACAAAATATTCTCTCACGTCTTTTGCATTCGATGTGGAATTGCCTACTCCATTTCTTCGTGTTATATTTTCCATGTTACAAATCTGAGCATCCTCAGAGTTGTACCCATCTCTTCGTCTGACAAAATTGTGCAAAACACAAGCCGCTTTTGTGATTGCAACCGCGAAATTCGGTTCAACTAATAAAGTGGTATGAAATACTCTCCATTTATTAGAAAGTATACCGAATGAACATTCGATATTTTGTCTTGCTCTCGATAGGCGGTAATTGAATATACGCCTTTTATCGTTCAGACTTTTTCCGGGGAAAGGCCGTAAAAGATTAGTATGTAAAGCGAATGCTTCATCTCCAACCACAATAAACGGTTGAGGTATGCCTTGTTCATCTCCTGGCAAACAACGAGGTTGTGGAAAGTTAACTTTATTATTATATAATTTTTTACCGAATATGGATTTTTTGAAAATGTTGCAATCGCTTTCTTTTCCATATGACCCAACATCTATAACTCTGAAGCAGTAATTCGCATCACAAATAGCCATGAGTATTAAAGAAAAAAAATGTTTGTAATTATGATATAAAGTACCGCTATTCAGGGGACATTGTAATCTAATATGTTTCCCGTCTACGGCATCAACACAGTTCGGGAATTGAGAATTAGTGTAAAATCCTTCTGATATTCCTAGCCAATCTTCTTCTGTTGGAGCAGCCATTTCTATGGGTTGTAAATGTGTCCATATCGCTTCGCATGTTTCTTGTATGATTTTCGCTATTGTTGACACGCCCATCAGAAAATCAAAATGAAGCGCAGAGAAACTGGTCCCAGTCGACAAATATCTAAATTAAATAACTCAAATAATTTCAAAATATATATTATAATAGGTTATATTATAATATAAAAAGAATATTTAATTAAAAAGAATACTTATTAAAAAGTTAAAAACTATTTAATTTAAATAATAATTAATGAATCATTATATTAAAATTAAATCAATATTCATACAGTCCAGGAGTTACAAAAAAAATGGAAATCGTTCAGGGATAGTTATAGAAGAAAATGCGTTACAAAATCAGGTCAAGCAAATGTAAAACAAAACAAATATGTTTACGGCAACATATTGGAGTTTTTACGACCCACAATGCAAAATCGTGTGTAAGCATAATTTATAATTAATTTAAAAGTAACAAATGGATCCATTAAAGATTAACCTAATCGGTAGTTAATAATTTCAATATACAGGGTGATTTTTTTATCATAAACCACTTATTATTTCAAAAAGTATTGATTTTTTTGAAAATTTTTTTTACATAGTTTCAAGTTTTTACAAAAAAAATATTTATTAATATAATATATCAATATATATTTATTAAATATCTTTTATCCTTAGTTTTTTTAAGTTTTTTATTTTTTTGAACGACAACATAAAGTTTTAATTTCATATTCCAAAGCGGAATATTTTTCTAAGTATTTTGATGCATAATAGTCGAATTTAGGGCGAGTAGTTTATGATTTAAAAGTATTTAAAGTTTAGATGAGCGGAGTGGAGTGGTACGGGTTACACCGCAAAATGTTTTTCCACTACTCCACCTGTCAAAATTTATAATACTTAAAACTTTATGTTGTCGTTCAAAAAAATAAAAAACTTAAAAAAAACTAAGGATAAAAATATTTAATAAATATATATTAATAAATATTTTTTTTAGTAAAAACGTATTTGTTTAAAAACTTGAAACTATGTAAAAAAAATTTTCAAAAAAATCAATACTTTTTGAAATATTGAGTGGTTCATGATAAAAAAATCATCCTGTACATATATTTTTGTATAAATAAATGTATATAATTATTGTATATAAATGTATAATAGATAATTAATAGTATATATGGAATTGTATTCTTTGGATTAAAAAGAATGAAAATTTAATACAATAAGACTCCTAGTAAATATTGTTACAATGGCAGTTGAAAAATATTTAAAGTTCGAATTTCAAAAAAAAATTTCAAATTTTAAATTTTAAATTTAATTGTTATTTTGTAGTTAACAATTTATAAAATGTTCAATTTGTATGCTAAGGATTGAATTTAGTGACAATTTCATATACCTATAAACAGAGTTGGGCAAAATTTTATCTAGATAACTATTCGAATAAATATGTAATAATATGTGAAAATAATTCGAATAATTTTCAAACATTATTATTCGGATATTTTTCAAAGTTATTATTCGAATACAAATTATTTTGATAATTTCAAAATTATATTATTTGAATAAAAATTATACTAGTACAAAATATGTATCATATAATGGTAATGAGATTATAATTTATAAATCTTCTAGTTAATAATAACATTAATAATTATTCTGTTATATATTAAACTAAATTAATTTTTTTTTAATATTTTATTAATCAAACGTTTTATTGATTTTTTATAATATAATTTTAAATACTGCAGCTTGTTCTGACGCTTCACGAATGCGAGGAGCATATTTGTGTATATATGTTTTTACATATATATATAGATTTTATATATATAAAAAAAAATCATTCGAATAAAATGTCATCTAAATAATCATATAAATAAAATTTCATTCGAACAACGCTCAACACTGCCTATAAATTTAACACATCCATTACAGTGACTTTATTCACTTTTAGATTCTGAACGGAGTGATGAATGTATTGATTTTACAATGATGTGTGTTTTTTTTTTTTATTGTCTGTGTACAAACAGTACAGCATAACTAGTCGAAATAATGCTTCAATTTCAAACTTCGGGGGTGGTTTCCAATAACAAAGTGAATATCCTTGGTGCATTATAGAGGTGAAAATTAAACATTTTCCGACAGTTTTCAAAAAAAATCAAGTGACGGAAAAACGGGACCAGTTATTTAGAATGGCATTTTCTTTACATGATTTAATTTTCAAAATATTGTGAATTTTTTGGGCTATTTATAGACAACTGTATTTTCGATTTTTCTGATAATTTATTTTTCGAAGTGTCGATAAATTTTTTTGGATGAGTCAAAATACTTGAAAATTTATTACAAACTTTCTCATAAGTTATTCTTATAATGATTAAAGAATACATTGGCACGATTTTTTTTTATTAACATTTGAAGTTCAAATATTGACTAAAATTCGTCAAAATCATCTCCGTTCAGAATCTTTTTTTGTATGCAATGATACCTATCATTACATTCAAATTTAACACTTCTGTAATATATAATAGTGATCCATACGACCATACGGCACCTAATGTACAACAGAGCGATACCCACTTACCCGCTTTTTTTTATATAAATCTTATGCTGTTAAAATGTTGATACCTAGTAATAGAAATATTACAGAATAATAGATTTTTTTTTTTTTAAGTAAGCACACCAAAAAATTTATTGTAGATTTTAATATAAAATATTATATAAATAACAGGACTGAAAGTAATATTGAAGGAAGTGAAAGTGACGGTAGCGATGGAGGATTAGAGGACCACGGAACAGGTTGTTCTTCCAAGGTGATGGAAGAAAACATTAATGAAGTTATGGAAAATAGTGACTGTGAAATCCAAAATACAGGGAAGTCCAAAAAACGCCAAAAGACAACATTAAAATCTCCACCAAGTTTTGGAGAAAATTTATTAAGTATTTTGGAAAATAGACAACGAGTGCCAGATGATCCTGAAAAATCTTTTTTAATGTCCCTCCTACCACAAATTAAAACACTAACCGAAGATCAAAAAACCCAACTTTACGTTGAATTTCTGAATGCCATACAAAGAATTAAACGTACATCTTATATTCCTACAGCAGCGCATGTACAAACGATACCACATAATCATTCTTATTCAAACTATTCCCGGGATCTCCATAACCCGTCTCCACATTTTGAATATACTACTTCAACCACTACATCGCCAGACAGTCAAATTCACCAACCAAACATGTTGTATAATTATGCTTCTTCACCAACTACTCCACCTGACGGATCTTATGGACCACGTTCATTTTAATAGTATGTAAAATGAAAAGTTAAATAAATAAGTACCTATAATAAATAAAGTTTTGTATTTATTACCTCAGTGTAACAGTAAGTCTTTCTTCTGAAGAGATTGGTACTCGTAAACCAGTTTCTTGTTTGGTCAAAGGTAGTCTAATCAATGATATCTGAACAAATTATTTTTTATCAATAATATAATATGTATAATATATAGGTACAGGTAAATAGGCATACTACATTATATTGGTTTTTAAGTAAGTACCTAATACCTATAGTATATTGGTTTTTAATAATCATATAAATATATAATTATAATTTAATATCCATATTATATTAATATAAATATATTATATAAATTATATGACTATTAAAAATCAATACGGCTAATAAATTATATAAATGTTCTTACCAGCTCATCAAATGATGCAATTGACATTCGGTAATACTTAACAAACTCTTCTGGATAACTGCGTAATGCCATGAATGTGACCTGAAATTGACCTTCTTGTGGCCGTTTAAGGTTCAGCGGATGTACCCAATGGCGTCTCTGTTTTTTTGGTTTTGGTTTTTTATTTAATTCATTATTTTCGTATAATGCATAAAGAACACACGCTGCTTCGATATCGTCTAAAATCTCCATATTGAAATGCTTTTACAACAGGCGTCTGCGTTAGACGACGATACGAGCAATACTAATTTAATTTGAAAACAATTTTGGCGCGCTCATTAGTTTGAATTTAGCTGCGTTCGCGCGTTCGAATCGCCTAATGTGTACGTCTGATGCGATCGCGATTTTAAATCGCGGCGTTTTTCAAAACGTGAACGTGAGCGTTCGAATCGCCTAGTGTGTACGTCTGATGCGATCGCGATTTTAAATCGCGGCGTTTTTCAAAACGCGAACGCGGGCGTTCGAATCGCCTAGTGTGTAATGCACTTAAGACGTACAACGGTCGGCGGAAAAGGCGATTCGAGATCCACCATCGGACCGTCGGACCGATAACATATCGTCCGACGTTAAACTCATTTGCCCGAGCGGCACGTCATGTATTATTATATTTTGGTCGCAATATTATAATACATAATTTGTGACATTCTTAAAGTGTTTGTGTTGTATTTTTTTTCATCACCTCAATCCTAACCAAACACTTCGACCGGACCACGATCAACCTTGAAGCAATCATCGTGTCCGCGTCAAATTACCCTACTAATGAAGAGAGGAGAAAGAGATAGTTATTGAATACTCGGAGAGATAAATTTGATCCTACGAAAAGTTCACAACTATGTGAAGTAAGAAACTACTTTTTAAGTATTTTTGTTTTTCATTTGTATATTCTATTTTATAATTATTGTGTATTATAACATTTAAAGAATTCAATTAATTATTACAGCTACACTTTGAAGAAAGTCAATTTGAAAAAAACCGTGCTAATGGTTGGAAGAAATTGAAACCAAATGCTGTTTCGACATTGTTTAATGTCCCCAATCCACCACCAAAATTTAATTCAAACAGACAATCAAAATATAAAGTTAGTAACATAAAATATAAATTACTGAAATTAAGTGTGGGCAAATTTGTAAAATAATAAATACTTATATAGTATCATTGATTATAAATACTATAGATCGCTCACTGCAATACAAAATACGCTGCGCGGAAATTATTTCCAATAGAGCGCGATAAGGTATTATTTTTGTCAACAATAAAATTAATATTATATTTTCTAATCGCCCGCCGGATCGTCATAATCGCCGACCGCCGTTGCTCGTCGACCCGCGACCCGCACTCTCGCACTAACAATATTATTTGCGCCACGCATACCACGCGCGGCAACACTCGAATTCAACAAAATTATAGTTATAGAATATAGGGTCGGTATATCAGCATTTTATATTTATATTATTATTTTATATGACTGTATTTATTTTGGGTTTTATTTGAGGAGGTTACACAACATATTATTATTTATTACCTTTTTTTTTATTTTATAATAAACACAAATTTAGGATAACAACATTTTAATCGTAATGACACAGTACAATATATTGGTACAATAATTAAAAAGGTACTCAGAAAGAAAATGTATGAGATTTTAGATTTTTTTAATTATAAAAATATCATTAAGTCTACTATTTCTAAGTATGAAACATGTTTTAATTGTTTCGGAATATCTTTAATTTATCCACCTGTTGAATTTCTTTGTCATGAAGTTTTGATGTAATCCATTTGCATTCTTTATACATTTTGGTTCTGAAAAGTAGCTCTATTATGTACATGTAATGATCTTTGCACGAAGAGTTTAAAATTGAGGTATTTTTAACAATTTTCTTGGTAGCATCGTTTGTAAGTTGAGTGACTACTTTTTTTTCAATTTTGATGTCTTCAAATTTCCTTTCAAAAATAGCAAGGCAAATATTTGATATTTTCAATAGTATGGATGAAGGCATTTTCAAACCTTTTGTATTAGTAAATATATTATCAAACGTTTTATAAGTTAATAATAATTGGTTTTTATCATTAAGATCTTTTTCAGTGATCAAATTTGAATAACAATCAACGCATTTAAATTTCTCGAGACACTTATTTGCTAAATATCCTGAGAAATAAACAACAGTACATGTTTCCAGTGAAGCGGGTATAGGGCTACAGTCTAAAGATAATGAACTGGTTTCCGATGAGTTATCAGACACTAAATTATTTTGTTCTTCATCGAGATCAGTTTCTATCAAATCTGGGTTTGGATGATCAATTAAACATTCTTTTAAAACATCAACATTTAAATATTCATCGTCATCTTCTTCACAGTTGCATTTGTCTGAACATTTCATCAAACTGTATGAACAGATGCTTCCAAAACAACACCTAAAAGTACGAGCGGTTGGATTTCTGTTATAACCATTTCTTTGTCTTATTATTGAAAATAAATTTTCCAACGGATCTTGGGTTAACCGATTAGTCATAAAAAAAAATGCATTTTCTGGATATTTTTCAGTCATTTCCACAAGTTCTGACTCGTATAGATTAAGCAACGCAGTTGAAGTCCAAACCATTCCTGAAAAGCACGGTGGAGTACTTTTTTTTTTATTTTTATGGTTAATTTTAACAAGATTTTTAAATGTTGAAATTGATTTTTTTAAATTTGAAAATACTTGTGGATTTTTTACACTCAGTGGACGTTTATTGGGATTGTTATCAAAAAGATTTTTACTATTTCCAGAATCAAATATGACGTTTACTGTTATAAAAAAGTTTGCAGTGTTGATGGCCGTTGAAGATTTTAACTGACCCGTAGCCACACAAGTTTTAATTGAAGCTGCTACTGATCTGCTCAACAATTGTATAGCCAACTTACATGACATTTTTTGAAATGCATTTGGCGCGAGATGAACTGGCGTGATTTTTATCATTTGTAATGGGATTACGCAATTCATGTACAACGCTCACAATAACAAGTACTACTTATGTAGAAAGCGGCCTCGTCGACCACACCCAAAAGTGGTCATAGCTAGAATAAACGCTTCGTACAACAACAACTTCCAAGGGCGCCTACATGCTACGCGCCGCTCAATTCAAAGGGCGTCACCTTCGTATATTCGTATATATAGAGGCTAGGGCCTCAATACAAATTAGATGTATCCAGAGACGAGAACAACACACGACTCGCTTAGCCGCCCAGCCATCACACACGACTTACACGGAGATTATCAACTTCGGAACGAGCTACAAATTCGCTACAATCAACACTATTATTCTGCTTGTTTTGCCTGGTTTAATATATTACATTTGATTATCATACTAATTTGACTATTATTATTTATCAAGTACACCAGCTTTTGGATCCCTGAAGGGCCGCATGTAACACTGGCGCAGTCGAACGTAGGATTCCAAAGGGAGGCAACCATCAAAGGCTACTGTCAACAACGAGGAATTGATCACTCTTCAGCGAAGACAACTCCAGGAGGAACCAACAAAAAACAAATAAGTCACATCGCAGTACCAACAAATCCATTAGCAGCATCATCAACGGCAACATGTCATCATCATCCATGAACGCAGCATTATTGTGAGTGAATAGTTATTTAAATTTGTTACATAGACGTATGCAACATAATTAAGACATATTAAGATAAATCTAGGTAGTTGATTATAAGTGTAATGGTGTAAACCGTTTTAAATTTATTGAGGGCATATTTTATTGATTATTATTGAAGTTTATTGAATTATTGAGGGCATATTGATTATTTGAAGTTTTATTATTGAGGGCATGTTTTTATTGAAGTTATTATTGATTATTATTTATTGAGGGCATTTTTATTATTGAAGTATTATTGAAGTTTATTGATTTTATTAGAGGGCATTATTGTATTTATAGGGCATTATTGAATTTTATTGAGTATTATTATGATTATTAACGTATTAAATAGGCGGTTAAGTTAATTTATGGACAAAGAAGATACATCTCCCTTGAACGTAGCTAATTCATTGTATGACACTAGTGTAGTAGAAGAAGCCCAGTTAGAAGCCCAGTTATTAGCCCAGAGAGAAGCCCAAGCCCAGTTTGAAGCCCAACAGAAAGCCCAGTTAAATATTATAGTAGAAACCCAGTTAGGAGATAGCACAAGTAAAACCCCAAGTCCACAATTAGGAGTAGTCACACGTAGCAAAGTCACAGAAAGTTTTGAACATCAGTCGTTAGATTTTATATCTAAATCACGCAATAAAAAAATGGCAGTAACCATAAAATTAGAAGACGCTTTTAAATTAATTCCAGTATGCACAGGGATAGACGATATTTACCAATTCATAAACGCATGTGATATGGCAGTAGGTTTAGTTGACGCAACTAGCGCACCAATATTAGTAAAATATATCACTACGCGATTAACGGGTAGAGCACTAGAAATGATTAAATATAAAAACGTAACAAAATGGCAATTTATAAAAGCATATTTAACAGACGCATTCGAAGTAACAACCAATGCATCGTCGTTACAACTTCAATTAAATTCGATTAGAATGAATCACAATGAGGACGTAAACGATTATTGCCACAGAGTAGAAAAACTATATTATCAATTATGTACCGTAAGCACGTTAAACAAAGAGGCTGCAGAAGCAAAAATTATACATGAAACATTAAGGGACCAAACTCTAGCAATATTTATTAAAGGATTAGTAGAACCGATTAGAACGATAGTAAAATCTCGTAATGCTAAAACTCTTGAAATCGCGAAACAAATCGCTATGTCAGAACAGGTAGAATTAAGATTAGAACAGGAAAATAGGAATCATTATTCGAGTGGTTATACGCAAAACAATAATCAACGTAGATCGAATTATGAAAATAGGAACAACAGGAACGTAAGACCAAATAACTTTGTAAGGCCGAATAATTTTGCGCAAAATAATTATCCACGAGCAAACAACTTCTCTCAACCAATTAATAGACCACCAATAAAATGTTATAACTGCAATGGAAATCATTTTGCATCACAATGTAGAAATAATTCGAGACCTAACTACGCGAGCAACGGAAATAACAACCGTCCACCTAATAGAAATAATTTTACGCAACCGCCGACAAATTATAATGCACAACCAGTTACGTGTTCATATTGCAATAAAATCGGTCATAATGTAGATTCATGTTACAAAAAGAGAAACGACGAAAGTAGAAATAATTCGGGAAACGCCAACGTGTCGAACGAGGTACGCGGTACTCGCACGATAAACCAGATTATCGCGGAACAACCGACGAACGAATATTTCACATATTCGCAAAACTAGAAAATAATCATATAACATTCGATTCTAATGCCGCAAAAACAAATCAATTACATTTAATGATAGATACAGGTAGTCAGGTAAATATTCTCAAAATAAATTGCTTACGCGAAGAACTGGAAGTAGACGAAACGCAAAAAATAAATCTACGCGGTATAAATTAATGTCTTACAAAAACCATAGGGAAAATATCAATATTAATTAAATTAAATAGCGAAAACATTAAAACGGAATTTCATATCGTAAGTGCACGATTTCCAATACCCAAGGACGGAATATTAGGAAACGAGTTCTTGTCGAAAAATAACGCAATAGTCGATGTAGCGAACAATAAATTAATTATTCAAACGACCTCGCATACACTAACAAATTTCAAAGAGGCTGACAAAACCAGTTTTATTAAATTAAATCCGCGGACTGAAACTATTGTAGGAATACAGATAGCTGACCCACTAATAGAAAGCAAGGAAATATTTATACATAAACAAGAATTAGTAAAGGACGTATATTGCAGTAGTACAGTGTCTATCGTTAATAATGGTAGGGCAATAGTTAGCATGTTAAATATATCAGAGGAAACGAAAAACATATCTGAAATCGACCTAAATAAAATACTCTATGATACCGAATACGAAATATATAATGTAGAATCGACGAATGATCACAATGAGCGAATAGCACGTTTGAAACAAATAATAATAACTGACCACATGGATGAAATAGAAAAACAATCTATTTATGAGATATGTGAACGATATAATAGCATATTTCATTTAGAAGGGGATGTTCTAACCTACACCAATGTCGGCACACATTCTATTAAGTTAAAAAAGGATCAACCACCTATTTATCGTAGACCTTATAGATTACCACACGCTCAACAGGACGAAATAAATTCACAAATTCAAAAAATGGAAGAAAATGGAATTATCGAGAAATCGAGAAGTCCATGGAATTCCCCATTATTATTAGTACAAAAGAAAATGGATAATTCAGGCAAACAAAAGTTTAGAGTAGTAGTAGACTTTAGGGCACTAAACGAAGCTACTACAAATGAATTTCACCCTTTACCAAATATTACAGAAATACTAGATCAACTAGGAAATAGTCAATTATTCTCTCTCTTAGACTTATCGAGTGGTTTTTACCAAATTTTGATGGAAGAAGACTCACGAGAGTTAACAGCCTTTTCGACTAACCAAGGTCACTGGCATTTCAAACGAATGATACAGGGAATGAAAACGAGTCCCGGAACCTTCCAAAGAGTTATGAATTCAGCTCTGGCAGGTTTAATAGGAATAAAATGCTTAGTATACTTAGACGATATAATAGTATATGGGAAAAATTTATATGATCATAACGAAAAATTAATAGAAGTTTTCGAGCGTTTACGAATAAGCAACTTAAAATTACAACCAGATAAATGTAACTTTTTAAAAAGAGAATGTGTATATCTAGGACACGTTATTACGAAGGACGGAATAAAACCCGACGAACGTAAATTAAAAGCAGTAGTAGAATTTCCAATACCAACAACTGTAAAAAACATTAAATCATTTTTAGGATTAAGTGGCTATTATAGAAAATTCATAAATTCATATAGTGCAATAGCAAAACCACTAACCAATCTATTAAAGAAAGACACGAGTTTCGTATGGAGTAACGAATGCCAAAAATCATTCGATACTTTGAAGGCAGCGTTATGCTCAGAACCAGTTCTAAAATATCCGGATTTCACAAAGACCTTCTTATTAACTACAGACGCGAGTAATAAAGCACTCGGAGCTATTTTATCTCAAGGAGAAATAGGTAAAGATTTGCCAATATGTTATGCGTCGCGCACATTAAATAAAAGCGAAAGCAACTATTCAACAACAGAATTAGAATGTCTTGCAATAATATTCGGAGTTAAACAGTTTCGACCATATTTATACGGTAGAAAGTTCATAATACTTAGTGACCATCGTCCATTAACGTGGCTCTTTAATTTGAAAAATCCATTATCAAAGTTAGCTAGATGGAGAATACAATTAGAGGAGTACGATTACGAAATACGTTACAAACCCGGAGTTTTAAATTCAAATGTAGATGCACTCACACGCATGTACTCTATACAGGAAATAAAAAACGAATCATACGAAAAATTTCTCGAAAAATTAGAAACCCAAATTATCACAAATAGTAATGTAAAAGAAACTATAGGCACAGTAATAGATTCACCAAAAGAATATAATATAGTGTCAGAAATTGCCAAGCAATATAATTTCAGAACAGGAACAAATTATCAGTTAAAAAAACAATTTGGAAACGGTATAATATTGCTGACTAGTAAAGTAATAGGGGACACACCATATTTTAAACATGAAAACCGGTTTATAATATTCTTAGTAACGAAAAACAAGGACCGACAAAGGGCCACTTACGAAACTATATATATATCGTTAATAAATTTGAAATTATTTTGTAAGGAGAACAATTTGAATAAATTAGCCATGGGCAAGTTAGGCGATCACGATGATTTAGAATGGGAAAAAATAAGGTCAATGTTGCGATACATATTTCGCGAAACAAATATAGAAATAATTATATGTGCAAATGTAGAATATAGTGAAGAAGAAAAAGC